CTTATTTTTTAATGTAGTTGTGTGATGATGTGGAGTCCTATATGAGAATATGCCTAGTATGCCAATAAGAAAAGGTTGAAAATTGAATCCCGAGGGCTCGTTGCGGCCTTTTCCTATCACGGAAAGACCATGAAAAACAATCATCATGGACTACATAGTGGCTTTATCAAAATTGCAGAACTTTGAGAGCATTATTATAGTGACATCCAAGTATTTCTATTTTCATACCAATGCCAATAGATGTGATAGTCAAGAACATCATTAAGTTACTCTTCAAGCATGCGATGAAGTATTAGGGTGTTCTGTGACATATAATTAGTGATCGAAAACCCCAATTCACTAAGAAGCTATGGATCGAATTATTTGAGTTGTTAGGCTTAAAGCTGTATTACTTCATACGCTTTCACCTATAGATGGATGGGCAAATGAAGTGGATAAATGTGTTGTTGGAGACATATTTGAGGCACTTTATGAGTGCCAACCAACAAGATTAGGCTAAGTTGTTGGATGTTGTCTAATTCTACTACAACTTATAAAAGAGTGAGTCTACTAGTAAAAGTTCATTCGAGATCGTGAGGGCCAACAACCTCTCACTCTACATACGATGATGCTTAGTCACAAGTATTAAAAAAGCAAGCCAAGTGCATATTCATTGGCCAAAGGATGGTAAGTGCGGACATACTTGATGCGAATGGATTTGAACAAGACTACCAAGAAGATGAAGAAGTAGGCTAAAAACAAATAGAGAGATGTCACCTTCCAACCAAGTGGCAAAGTGATGTGAAGTTACTTGCCATACCAACATAAGGCCTTTTGTAAGGTGTACAAAGGCCTTATACGTCAATATGAAGGACCATTCAAGATAGTGGATAAATTGAAAGAGGTGTCCTATCGATTAGATTTGCCAACGAAGTTGAAGATCTATTCGAGTGTTCATGTTAGTATATTGAAGCCATACTATAAAGATGAGGAAGATCCAAGCCGAGGAGTTTCTCATAATGTGCCTACGAGTGGTGGTTGACTCGTATGAAAAAAGTTGATATACTTAATGATCACACAATCGGATGTCATGGAGTGGCATTAAGAAATGAGTATTATATGAAATAGAAAGGATTACCGAAAAGAGAGTCTAACTAGGACCTTGTTGAAGCTTTGTGGCAATTCACATGGAAGTCCGAAGAGCATAATAAAGGAACATCGAGGATGTCACCAAATTAAGTGGGTAAGAATGTTACGTCTTACACGAAAGAGAGATTTTTCTAGAGGCTAATTAGGAAGCTAGATAAGCCCAAAAGTCTCTAAAAGATTATGGGTCAATGAAGAATCCTCTAAGGGGTCCAAGAGAAATATAAACATATCCTAGAGAATTCTAAAGAGTCCCTCATTATCCTAAGTTGTATATATCTAGATGGTTTCTTATACATATCTAGATAGAATAATTCTAGAGAATCAATCACAACCATTAGATCAAATAGATCATAGCCATCCATTGAGGAGGTGGAGGACTATGAATAGGTGAGACCTTCATTTGGCCAAGTTATCTAGAAATCTAAGTGTAATCCTAGAGTTGTAAGCTTTAGAGAATGTAATACAAAGAGTTTTTATATCTTTTGTGTGTGTCTTTCTTGATTGACAACTTTGTGTTAGAGAAAGCCGACTTGGTTTAGCTTAGAGAATAAGTAGGCCTAGTGTTGCATAAGAGCTTAGGAAAGGCCAAGTTTGTGACAAGACAATGATACCTTTAAAATGTGACATTAAAACATTATGTGAAGAATAAGTAAGGGAAGATAGACTTACGAGACCCACATATAAAAGGGAAATAGTGACTACACGTAAAGTGCACACACTCGCACCCATTCAAAATATTAATGTCTACCAAAAGGTTAGGGATATACTTGATTGTTAGATGAGCAACATTGGATCCGGACACACCGGCTTAGAAGTCCAACACCGTACAACCCAATTCAATCATCCATTAACAACAAATTTATAAGGTTTTCTCCTCTTTTTTGTGCAAGCTTATCATGTGTGGGTTTGCTTCTTCTACTTCGTCCCTAGAATAATGAAAGCTTTGATTAGCCATTATATTTTCATTGTTGTGAGTCCGGCGAATAAAATTATTTTTTTATTTTTTATTATAAAATTTCTACTTAAAAAACATGATATTTTTATTATATATAATGTTATCATAAAATCCGTATTTGAATAATTGGTTGGTTTCTTTAAAAAATTTATTTATTTATTTTATTTCAAATAAATTGGTTTTATAACATTAAAAAAATATTCATAGCAAATAGTTGGTATTATGAGTGAAGATGTATAATTAATTTTTAGTAGAATCGATAATTCAATGAATTTTTTTATACGTATTGATCATGCCTACTTGACTAAGATAAATTATCTAAAATACACTTTTAACTTTTTAGAATAAAATAATTATATATTTATATATATGCAACTATAATTTATTTCTAAAAATTTATGATATATATATTAAATCAATTTATTAAAAAAAAACCATGTTTAAAAATTTTATTCTAAAATTCAAAATTATATTAAAAAATTAATCATATTTATTAGTAAATAAAATTTTATTTAAAAAAATAATTGGATGAGAATTTTTATAAAAAAAAGGCAAATTTAAAGAGTAAATTTTAAATAGTATGAGTAACATAATCTAAAATATATGTTAATTTTAAAATATAAAAAGATAATGTGCGTGTGTGTATATATATATTATTCTTGCTATGTTGCATGAAAAATATAAATAATAACATTTGATATTCCATAATTTTTTAAAATTCTTGATGAAAAAAATAGAGGAAAAAAAAAAGGACCGGACGTACACGTAAAGGCCTCGGAATAGTTGGCCGAACGTATAGGCTTGGAGGACTAAGCCCACCAAGGCACGGGTAGGAGAAAAAAATAGCGCTTTCAACTTTTTGGCGACTCTATAATTTTCGATGAAATCAATCGAAAAGTCGGATATCTCATTTTTCAGCCTCTCAAAACCAAATTAACTTCATTTTTTTTTCAAAAATACCTCAAAATTACAAAATAACTTAATCAAACATGTTTAGAACCTTAAAATTCATTTTAATTCGAAACAAATTAAATCAAAATAAAAAAAAACTCAAAATAGTTTTGGATTCCGATCTACCTTCTCCGACCATTTCATCATTTTCCATCACTACAAACGGATTTTACTTTTTGAGGCAAACAAAATGGTGGCAACATTGAGCGGTGCGATGGCCGAATGGGCCTTGCCATCCGTTTCTCTCTTCTCCCTTCTCTCTCCCTCGTTTCTCTCTCCTTTTGGTATCCAAAGACCAAAATGAACTTATAGATCGAAAAAACAAGTTAAAAAAGAGGGATTAAAGTGCATATTTTTCAAATAAGCGAGTGTAAATATATAGTGAGTGAATTAAACTCTGTTTGTTTGACGAAAAACAACTTCCAATCGAAAAATCAATTTTGGAGAAGCTATTTTTCAGGAAATTTTTTTTCAAAAAAATATTTTCTAACATTTGGCAATTGCATGAAAAAACTACTCGAAAAATATATTTCAACATTCGTTTGATACGGAAAACTAAAATACAAAAATATACTCGTGATTGTTACATCAACTAGTTTTAAAAAACTTCAACAAGGCATATTCACAATTTCATAATATAAGATACATTTAGAAAAATTTAATAAATTTTTATAAATCCTAACTCTAAGATTTAAATTCAAAAAATAAAAAATAAAATATAAATTTTTAACCATCAAACCAATTCATTAAAACTACTTAGGACAAAATCAAGTCGGTATTCATATTTAGTAAAAAAAAAAAAAATCTAAATAATCCTAGCATTTTTATTTTAGTAGCTTAATTAAGAATTTTTTTTGAAAAATTGAATTGATAATTTAGTCTAAAAAATTGTTTTACAAATTATTAATTATCATTTGTAAATAATTATTCATTTAGTTTCAAAAGATTAATGTTGGAATAATTTATAACTAATTATTGACTACAATTACCAACAAAATTTTACAACTTATTAAAATTAGTCACAAATTATTGATTTAGTTGCAAATGAATAGTATTGGAAAAATAATGCATTTATTAATGAAATAACTAGTATTGGGATAATGGTAAAAGATAGAGATAAATTATGAAAATATTTATTATAAAAATAATATTAAGGTGTAAAAATGGGTTTTAAAAATATTTAATGTATTTATAAATAAAAAAATAAATGTTAGTAGAAATAGAGAAAAAATAATTAAATAATTAATAATAATTGATAAGAAATAATTAAAAATTAATTTGATATATTTTAAATAAAAAAGAGATATAGAAAAAATTGTTAAAATATATCAAGAGAGAGATGAGTAACACGATAGCTTGTGAGAGAGAAGGAAAATGTTTTTCTCTTTTTAAAATTGGAAAACACTTTTTCAAAAATATTTTACTTTATCATTTTTTGTAGATCTGAAAATGATTTTTTATTAATTTTTTTCTAAATATAAAATAAATATAAAAAAATTAAAAAAAAAGAGAAAAATAATTTCATGTTAATAGTGAAATATGAGAGAGTGAATAAAAAATGGTGAAACGGGATGGAGTGCACAATATTTCGGCAGTGTTTATGATTTTGTTTCTATATTATTGGTATCAGTAGACTGTATGGGTGTAATACTTTGTCACTTTTGCTATCAAGTTCTACTTGGGCTTATTACTCTGCACTCTATTGTCCACTTCTAATTGGGTTAAGAAATAAAATTAACAGTAGTAAAATTGGCCTGCGAAGTGAGAGCCCAGGCAAACGACTAGTCTTGGTGAACAGAAACTGCAAACATCCTTTAAAAATATGCGAACACAAACGTAGAGAAGAGAACCTTAATGGAAAATCCATCACCCTTTTTGCGCGGGTATGTTTTTTTCTTAACTAAGAAATGAAATACCAAATTAATTTATATGTGCACAAGGATGGAAAATGACCAGATTTAGATCTTCATGACGAATAAGTACTTCCATCATCTGACTCCTTGCTGTTGACGTGGTCCAAACGTGCCCTTCCTTCGTGTGGGTCCTTGCGGCTGCTTTGTACAGAAGAAGAAATACTTCCATTCTGTGATCCTCTACTGTTTTGACTCACAGATCTAATTCCATCTTCTAAATCCAGGCTGCTGCAGAGGCTTAAAGAAGCATTTGATCTACTTTGTGATTTCCTGCTGCTTTTGCCGCTGGTAGAAACAGTACTTCCTTCCAGTATTGATCCCCTGCTGCTTTTGTGGCTCAAAGAATTCATTGATTTTTTGCTACTCTTATGGTGTAAAGAGGCGTTAGGATGTGAGGTTAAGCTACTATCACCATTTGAGGAATCACTTCCATGATGTGATCCTCTACTATTCGATGTGAACCCCCGCAATCTCCTGCTGTTTCTGCGACCTGAAGAAACACTGCCATCCACTGATTTCATGCTGCTTGCGATGAATTTTTTGCTCCCATTAACGTCAGCCAGTTGATGCTCAATATTTTCACTGCCTTGATCGCTATAGTCACTGTCTCTGTCTTCATTATCTGAACTTTCATCGTCATCGTGATAGTCTGAAGTGTCTCCATCATGATCTTTTGCTCTGTCCTCGTTATCTGAACTCTCTTTGCTCTGACTGCCATCGCTAGCCACGTCCTTGTCATTTGAACCATCTTCAACTTCATTATCTTGTTGTTCGTAGTTAGTAGCTTTCTCCTCTGAGGGAGGGTTCAACTGAGGCATATCAGTAACCATTGAAAGAAAACTTAATGCTGTTACAACATCGCTCATCAAAGGACGGGCTGATGACTCTTCTTGCAGACACATTGCTGCTATAGCAACAGCTTGATTCAAGTCCTTTTCTGGAAATTGATTGTTAAGAAGCGGATCAGCCATATCAGGATACTTTTTTGGGTCCCTGAATTTCGGTTGTGCCTGTTTGATGACAAACATAGAACAAATAGCAAATTATTAAAAACTGCTGAAGCCAATTTATACGAATATGTTGATGCGATTAAAATTTATTACTCACCCAAGAAACTAGATTTTGCTCGTCGATGGGTTTTGTAGTGTCTATGGCTCTTCTTCCAGTGATGAGCTCCAGCAAAATAACTCCAAAACTGTACACATCTGATTTTTGTGTGAGATGACCTGACCTAGCATATTCTGGAGCACAGTAACCGTAAGTTCCCATCACTCTTGATGATGGATGCATCTTGTCCCCGCTAGGACCAAGCTTGGCGAGTCCATAATCAGAGAGCTTGGGGGTGAATTCCTCATCCAGTAAAATGTTGGAGGGCTTTAAATCGCGATATATAACAGGGGGGTCGGCCTTTTCATGCAAGTATTCTAGACCTTTAGCAGCACCAAGTGCTATATTCATTCTGGCAAACCAGTTCAATGGCTTTCGTTCTGCTCCTACGTCTGCAATTCCATAAATATTAGGCTCATAAATACCCATTCTAGACCTGATCTATGTATGTTTGAATGTAGAGGAGGAGATGAGGAGCCCATCAATATTTGAGAAGTGGAGGGAAAAAACAAAAAGAAATAAAGAAATACCAAGGAGATGATCCTCTAGAGAGCCTCCTGTCATTAATTCATGCACCAAAAGCCTCTGGTCTCCATCAGCACAGTACCCAATGAGATTGACCAGATTTGGGTGGTGTAAAAGACTTAGCGTCAAAACCTCACCGAGAAACTCCTTGTTATTTTGCAGTCCATTCCTGTCAAGTTGCTTCACAGCCACTACCTGCTGTGTGAATATTATTAGTAATAGATCATACAACAGCTAGCAAATTAATGCAAGCTAGCAGTTTATATGTATATGTATATATATAGATATAGATATAGCATATGAAACCAACGGAAGTTGATGAAATCCTCAGTAACCTGCCCGGTTGACGCCAGTGTCCCTTTATACACTCTTCCAAATCCACCTTCACCCAACAGGCATTCTTGACGGAAGTTCTTGGTTGCAGCGGCAAGCTCACGGAAGGTGAAAGATTGGGTCTCAATGTCTCCTACGTCAACTTCTCTATTTTCCGCCGTCTTGTTTCCATCTCCAGGTTTTTGTTTCTTAGTCTCTACCCAAATTAATAACATGATCAGAATATATATATATGGAGTGGATGACAATTTGTGAGAATATATATAATTAAAGTGAGTAAATTATAAGTTACTCTTTTTAGTTTTGGTGAAAAAAAATCAATTATTTATTATTTATATTTTTAATTTTTTTAACTTAATCATTTTCATTATTTTTCAATTTCTTTTAACTTTTTGTTTTAAAAAATAAAAAATATAGAAAGATGGATCAAAAAAATAATATTTTTTTTGAAACAAAATGATATTAAATTAAATAGGATCAACACATGTTAAAAAATTAATTTTTAAAATAAAAAACTAATATAATTAGAACCCATTTAATATGCATCCGAAGGATATGGATTTGAATTTTCCATCAGATAAAAAAAAAAAAAAAAAAATTCCAAACTTAATAGATTATTATAACGGTCGGTCTCATGCGAGAAACAACGATTTTTGTAATACAAACAAATACGCTTGCATGCTCTCAAAATCCATAATTTTAACGTTTCACTTGGACTAGAAAAAATTAATGTTTTCATGAGAAATATTTTTTGGTTAATTTGTTTCTTTATCGAAACTTCTTTTACTTTTTAAAGTGATTTTAAAATTACATTTCTTACATCAGCATTCAATAAATTCTCTTAAATCTTAGTTTTTTTTTTTTTTTTTAAAAAAAAAACCTCTTTAACCGCTTAATCTACTTTTATACGTAATTAGACGAGCACAGAAACAAAAAGTAGCCATGATATATATACATCAAGAGAAAGGAGCATTTAAAATAGCTCGATGAGGAGCGAATATGGGAATGAATTTAAAAGTAACATCACTTTAATCTCATCTCTATTCTCCTTCACATACGTTTATACAATTTCCACAAATTTTATTGGGTGAAATACATACATAGTCACGCTAAAAAATAGATACACAGAAATCATTTCCTAATACGTAACAAAAAAGCATAATTTTTTTTTTTTTTTATATATGTTTACAGAGAAGAAAAGAAAATTTTAATTAAATCTGAATTAGATTTTCAAAACCAACATGGACCTTTGTTTTCCATAAGTTGGAAGAGATGAAAGATTTTTTTATTTTTATTTTTTTTAAATATGCAAAAATATGGCCAAGAGACATCCATACATTTGGGATTACAAACGAAAAATGATACAATATCATAGCTGGGGGTTTTGGCAAAGCACATAAAGGACAATTACCAGGCACCATTGGCTCAACTAGATGTCTCGGAGACCCATTCTCTCTCTTGCTTTTCTGAGATTGGAAGCACGAAAAGCAATTCATTTCTTGATCGTTAAACGCCTCTGATCAAGAAATGAGAGCAGGGATTCATGAACAAAATGCACTTGCCAGGCCTTACAAGACTTTGCATCAAAAACCATAAAGAAGTAATAAGCTTGAGAGGGAGCTGAGAGATCCGTGAAAGAAGAGGAGGGTCCTTCAAGAGAATTGAAGGACCCCACGGGTGGGAGGAATTAGGAAAAGCTAGAAAATAAATAAATAAATTAATTAAAAGTTATTAAAGGAAGCTAATTTTTTGGATAAAGAAAATGATGAGTTTTCCATTGGAGCTGTCCGAGAAAAAGATGGAGAATTTATTGGAACATTTTTGACATTTGTGCTTAGGGAAGAGACCAAGAATTGTGGAGTTTAGTGGAAGGAAGCCAAATAATAATAATAATAATAATTATTATTATTATTGCCTATTCTGGCTACTGGAGAGGGTATCCAGCCATTTTGAACTGGTTCAGTTGCTGTACTTTCCTGTCTTGGAATCAACATAACTTTAAGATGGGATATTGGAACACAATAAGAAAAGCATGATCATAGGGGAATATTTTAGCTAGTTAAATTAAATGGAGTCGTATTAATAATAATGTTATGCGTATATATAATATCTTAAACAATATATTATGCATTTTTAATACCTATTAGTGCAATGATATATTATCATGCATCCAATGGTTTATCGGTTCTAATAAATTTGAAGAAATTATATATATAACAATAATATGTACTCAATTGAAAAAATATATGAGCTAGTAAGGTGCATTAAATTGAAATCATTCTCCAAATGGTTTATTTGCACTTTTAACTTAAACAAAACTTTTATTAGTTAATAGAAAATTAACATCTAAAAATAATAATATGTACTCAATTGAAAAAGATATGAGCTAGTAAGGTGCATGAAATTGAAATCATTCTCCAAATGGTTTATTTGCACTTTTAACTTAAGCAAAACTTTTATCAGTTAATAGAAAATTAACATCTAAAAATAATAATTGGTATGCAAACATTTTATTTTATATATATAATTTTGAGAATCTTGAATAATTTATCCTTAAATTCAAAGAAAATTTCAAATCACTTTTTCAGCTCCTAATTAAATCATTAATGGCATATATTTCTCCCTTCCAATTCAATCAAAATTCGACCCTTACTTTCTCTAACTACACTATTACGGTTAGGTTCTTTAAGGACAATATAAATAACTAATTTGTTGATGGTATAACACACCATCAAATTTTAGCTTTGTTACTAGAGAGGATTACGTTAAAGTTAATTATTTCGTTGTATTTTGACTATTCTTGTGTTTTTATCAAATTGGTTTATGACCAAGTCATAACCAGGTAATTTGATTTTTAACTCCGAACTAAAGAGAGAATTGAACAAATTAAGAAGAAAGCTAGACTAGCTTCAATAGAAAGGATTGAATCATTCGAGAGAACAGTTTCATGGGGCATAATTATTGTTCTCAAATTTTTATCATCGAGTGATTCCGAAGGAGAGATAATGATTGCAAATAGGGTAAATAGGACTTTGAAGGAGTTGGTCGCTCTTGACCTTAAACGACGACTCTTGTGTATTGAGTTTCCTAATCTTGATGTTGTATTTGAATTAAAATCGAGATTGATAAACCCGTTGTCAAAATTTTGAGGCCTTGGTAAAGAAGGCCCCTATAAACATCCGAATGAGTTCCATGTGGTCTCGCTCAACCATGAGACCACAAGGAGTATCAGTGGAGCAAGTCAAGCTATAGGTATTCCCTTTTTCATTAGATGGGGATGCTAAGGATCGGTTATATGATCTCCCTATAAGATCCATTAATTCATGTAATAAGATAAAGTAAGCTTTTTTATTGAAATATTTTCCTAGTTCAAGAGCTACGAGTATATGAAAAGAAATCTATGATATTAGATAGTTCAATAGAGAAACATTGTATGAATATTGGAAGCAATTCAATAAGTTATATGCCAACTGCCCGCACCACCAAATTTCTAATCAACTTATGATTGTATACTTTTATGAAGGATTGCTTCCTATGAAGAGGAGCATGATAGATGTTGCTATTGGAGGAGCATCGGTAGATAAAACACCCAATGCTCGCAAGGGCTCTAATATCTAACATGACTACAAATTTATAGCGAGTTTGGTGTGAGAGTTGATCACGTACCAAAAATGGTAAATGAAGTTAATATATCTAGCTTGGAGCAATAAATTTTTGACTTGACTTCACTAATGAGATAGATGGTCATGGGAACTTTATAAGCTATTAAAGCTTATAGAATTTATTCGATTATAGGTCACACCAAGATGTGTGCCCCACACTACAAGAAGGGCACCTAAATATTTAAAGGTTGGGAATTTTGGAAATGGTCAATCAAGACTATATGACCCTTTCTCCAACACCTATAATCCTAGTTGGAGAGATCAACCTAAATTGAGATACGGAGACAACAAATAAGGTGGGTAGAATTTTTGCCAACAAAGGCAACAAGGCCATCAACCCAAGCCTTTTCAGCAATAGCCCTCCAACACTCAAATAATTCATTGGAAAAGATGGTAAAGTCTCTTGCCTTAAGTATAAGCAATTCCAACAAGAGATAAGGTCAAACATTCAAAACCTTAAAAATTAAATGAGTTAAATAACGACTATTGTGAGTCATCTAGAGGCTTAAGTCAAAGGGAAATTGCCATCCCAAACGGTGGTGAATCCATAGGAGAATATGAGTGCTATGAATTTTTGAGAAGCGGAGTTTTAATGGAGAAATCGAGCAAGAAAGTGTTTGAGGTAGTTGAGGAAAGAAGATTGAAGCTAGAAAGAGAGAAGGAAAGTAAGCTAACCGACATAGGTACACCAAGCCCTAAGATAAATTTTGATCCTTTTATTCAATTTTTGACTGATTATGTACCATTTTCTAGTAGCTTAGAAAGCCTAGGAAAGAAGAGATGAAGAAAGAGAAAGAAAAAAGGATCTTTGAAGTCGTTTAGCAAGATCAAGATGGACATACCTCTCATGGAGGCAATAAAACAAGTGCCTCAATATGCCAAGATCTTGAAGGACTTTTACATAAACAAGAGAAAACTAGACAACAATGGAAAGGCAATAATAAGAGAGAATGTTTTTGCTGTGTTTCAATGAAAAATTCCTCCTAAATGCACAAATCTAGGTATATTCACAATACTGCTCGATTGTTAACACTAGGATAGACAAAACTATGCTAGACTTAGGGGTATCAATGATAGAAAAACCTATGTTAGACTTAGGGGTATCAATCAAAGTGATGTCTAAAAGATCATGCATCCTATGAAGGTGCAAAAAAAAAAAACAAAAATTTTCTCCATCTAAAGGGCCTAAAATCATGCCATTGAATCAACTAACAATATATTCATGAATTAAAATGATGAATAGAGAATTACCTCTTGTAGCATAGATCTAAATTCTTTAACGAGAGAAAGGAGCAGTCCAAGCGTCCGACATCTATTAATTATCCCACACGATCCAAGCAACCATAAAAACACGCTCAAAATTAGTAGAGTGTTAGCTCCACCTTTTCCGATTTGTTTACTATTTCCTATAGAAATCTAATCTGGATAATTTTATGGTAACCAAAGAGAGAGGGAGATATAGTGGCTTGCTAGGGTGTTTTAGGAAAAAACTATATATATATATTTTCCTTCTTGGCCATGTGCTCTAGTTCCTTTTGATTTTACCAAATTCTCTCTCTCATTTTTTTCTTGCCTTTTACCACACTTTTCCTCCTATATATAAGGGAAGGGTTTCCTTATCCTCTAAGAACGAGGAGAGGGGGTGACAACTAGTCCTTATTAGACTCTTAGTTATTGCTTCCTAATCCTCCGAGGATTAAAAGTTATTTAACATGTGGAATTTTGATCTTTATCTTTAAAATATGCATCCTTATCCAATAAGGTTAATGTTTATCCTCCCATCAAAATATCTTTATGCTTTTAATTAAACCTATTGGCCCAAAACTATTTTCACCCAAATAATTAATTTGGACTATCCAAAAAAATAAACTTAGATAATTTTAGGTGACCCACATTAAGAAATAATTTTTCAAAATACTCTTTAACCTAAATTGAAAACTTATTTTCATTTTAGGTTATTTACTTTCAAATTTGGAACTAACTTTCAAATTAGGACACTAATTTCTAAAATAGGAAACTTTTTATTTTAGAAAACTTTTAATTTTTGAAAATCCTTTCCAAAATAGGAAACTTTCATAATTGAAAACTTTTTCTAATATCTTTACTTCTCTTTAATCATATGAATGTTTAAACTTATGTGTATGACTGAATAGGCTCCTAGATATGTTCGTAATATATTAAGAACAAAAGATACCTCTTTTATCTCTTAATACGTAAGTCAAGATTAGCATCTAGCAAGGTATCATGACTACCTAATTCTCTAGGAGGATTAATTAATCCTTTATTACCTTTCATGAGCATGGTTATTATACAATTCAGTCTTTATGTCAATTTATTACAATTTAATCTCGAACTAGGTTATTAGTTTTGTTTGATTATGATCATACAAGTTTTTTTTTATTCCTAAATGTTTTAGCTCTTAGGGTAAACCAACTACACTCTATTGGTGTACTCCTACCGTGGTCATAAATTTTTTGAGTAGATATTCATCGAAGTGCAACATGATAACTCCTTTTGTATAAAAGAAATGATATGTACTATCTTAATCATTTACCTACCTTCATTAGATTCCTAGTGTACCCAACAAATTACCCATGTGCAATCCTTTATCGGGTCCATTGAAATGAGAGTCAAAGTTCATAAATTCTCTAATAAGATAACCATGATGACCTCAAGTCTAAAGACTATTTGTACCCATCTCATATGAGATTCCCATAAACTAAACCAAATGTGTTCTCTTGGCGAGTCAAGTCTAGTGACATATTCTCTAACATAAATCACCTAAGTGTTCGCTTTGGTATCATCATATTAATAGGTGTGAGATCTCTTATTGC